ATATATATATATATATATATGTATGTATGTATGTATGTATGTATATGTCTGTGAATGTGTTATGGTTTTTAAAGATTACAAGTATATTAAGTGCTGTTTTTTAAAGTATTTTTTATTTTAAAATATATTTAAATAATTATTTTATTTTTAAAATTTATTTTTAATATTAATATATCAAAATAATTTAAAATAAAAACTGTAAATTTTTCTGGCCAATGCACTCTTTATAATTTTTTGATGTATATATTATATATTTTTTCTTCTTATATTTAATAGTTTAAACATTTGAATATCTCGAATTCTAACAAAGAACTGTTTTTTCAAGAACAACCACCCCCACAAGCGTGGAACATAGCCCTGAAAAGGCCAATTTATATCTAAAGTTCTTTCATAACTTCGCCAACATTGTTTTTGCTTCTAGCTTGTATGCGTAAAGTAAGGTTTCTGGTTTACTGCTTTCTCTTCCAATAACGAAACAGTACTGTTATCTTTTTCATCCATGATGGCTTCGTTTTCAACAATTTTGCCCCAATAAAGTCATTTTTAAAAGCATGGTTTTGGGATTCCCTCGCAGGTTTAATCTTGTCGGCTTCAAGTTAACTATTATAGGGACTATTATGGGGATTATTGTTTTTTTTCTTTATTAATGTAAATATTTGCAACGGTTTATGTTTATGTGTATTTTAATTAATTTTATAAATTTTAAAATTAATAATTATATAAATTTTTTATAACTCTTAAATTTATATAACTTAAATTAGTAATTTAAAAAAAAATAACCTCAGACAGTATTGTTTGATATCAGAAGGCAAAGGAATAATAATCTGATTATAAACTCGTCATTATTAGTCAAAATTAATTATGATGAGATTGTGAACCATAACACCAAACTATCTTGATTTTTTATAACAAGGAAGATTTATTCAAATAAAACTAATAATTTTTTTCCTTGAAAAATCCTTATAAAAAATAAAAAAAAAAAGAATTTAATCAAGTTTAAGAATGCAGTTACAAGACCCCAAAATTAACCTTCTTATAACTGCATTCTTAAACACCCCGGCTGCCACTTCTTTCTGTTAGAAACTCGGGCACAACTTTCCAGCGATGATTGTTCTTTTCTTTTAGGCAGCGACGTCACGTCAAGTCATGATTTGATTAAAAGTCCACTAATATTGTGCATCTAAGGCATCTTCCCTCCCACAAAGAACGGCGACGGTGAGTCAAGAGAGAAACGTCGCCGCAAAGACAAAAGAAATGAATGTACGGTGGACTACAAACGAAGGGGCCCGCCTATTGATTTGACTGTATCAGTCCATTTCGTGATGC